TGTTTTTGGTGAGCAGCTGGTCATGCGGCGCGAGCGAAGCGAAATTCGCCTCAGCTGACACAACCCCACAACCTCCAGCAGCATGGCGGCGGCCATTCTGGGCCACTGGCATGGTCGTACTCCTGCTGCCAGTGCCAGTGCTAACAACACACAACCGACTCGTCGTTTAACCTCGCCTTCCGGAGCAACCAAGCTTTGTGATCGAAATCCTCGACCACCTGACATCTCATGGCGTGTGGCGTGGGCACGTGTACTGGCACCTCGAATGTCTGTAGCTCGCCTGCAAGCGAGACAAAACATCATCTTGAGCATACAAGATCGTGGAGACCTCGTTTGCGCAGAGTGCGGTGTCTTCTTGCGGTTGCGGGGCTTGAAACCGGAGACCCGCACAAGAGCATCCAGCTCGAGCTGAACCAGATGCTGTACGTTCTCAAGGTCACTCCGGTGCGTCATGTCCACCTTGGGCAACACAAAGACACAGACAAACACAGACACCGAGGAGGTTCAGCGGTTCCTGTCCAGCCCGCCTGGAAGCCCAGCAGGTAGCTTTCGGAGCCGACGCGGAGCGTTTCGATGCAGAGGAAGTTCAGAAAGGCCTCACATGTCACACAGTGTCACGCACCTCATGAAGCTTGAAGCCAGCTGGCCTCGCCGTTCTTCCGACGGTTCTGGAGTTGCCCTACAAAGCCTTTGCCCCTGCGGACACAGGCCCGCAAGCGCAGTCGGTCCTGCTCGAGGACTCGAGGGTGCCGCGAACGGTGGCCAGAGCCATCTAAGGTGAACGGCGAGCAGCAGACGCCACTCTCCACTCTTCTCTCACGGCTCAGTCACTTCTCCGCACCGCCCCGCCCTGGACACACGACAGGCACTTGGAAAGCCGGGCCTTTCTCTTCCAAAATCCCGAGCCCTTGTGTCAAGAACATGGCTGGAAGCCGAAGGCGAAAGGGAGCGGTCCGGTCTCCCAGACACCGTCAGTCTGCACTGGTACCGAAGGCTAAGCTTCACAGCTTCGAAGTGTGGAGGAAAGGGTCGGTCCGAGTCCCGCGGCCCACACTCCGGCGTCCTCTTTCGGAATGATGCAACCACGATTCAGGAACCGGCAATTCCTGGCACAGCTGCGTTTTGGCAGGATCCGTTTGCCAAGACCGAAACGGCCTGCCAAGAACTTCGTCGCGGGCGTATCCGGTTAGGAGTTGAAACCCCTGCAGCAGCTGCAGCACAGAGTCCCAGTCCCAGGTCACCGCCAGGTCACCACCAACCAGAACCAGAGAACCAGACTGACATTCCATTCCTGCCCAAGGCCTTGCTGACGCCGATGAGTGGGCAGTCAGGCTCCTAGTTCAAACAACAGCAACTGGCCCGAACCCGAGCATGAAGTGCAGACTTAGACTTCTATGCAAGAAATGCAGACTTCAGCCAGGATCAACTTCGACGTGCTGTGCGCTGTGTGCGTTCTCAAAGCGTCGAGATCAGCAAGATCACGTGTACAGGCCGGAACGACATGTGCAAAGTGCCCGTGCTGCCAGTGGACACAGGGAACCGAAGGCATAGGTCTCATGGAGAAGGGCAAGACAGGCATACGGAAGGCTGTGAGTCCTAGAGATCTTCGACCACGCTCTAACTTACAAGCTTGCTCGAAACTTCGCAGAGCATCGCTGAGCGTCCTCGGGCTGTGCGAGCGTGACAGAGATGCTAGCATCCTGCAGCGAGCCGACAGCCAGCGCTTCGCAGAAGCCAGAGAAGTTGTTATCCTGAAGGGAAACTCTCTCTGTCTCTGCATGTGGCCCCTCAGGTCGTGTCGTGGATGCGGCTCCTTGAAATGGACCATTGCCTCCCGAGTCAAGCAAAGCGGAGACACGCGCCGTGGATAGGCCGCGGCAATTTCTTTGTGTCAGAACTCGGTGCGCTCGGGCCTTCGCCATGGAGCGGCCGTAGCTGCGGCTCCCCATGGCACATCGTGGCTTGGGCTGTCGAATAACTCTGACCGATACTTTCCGCGGTCCCGTCCCGGATGTTTTGAAGGCATGGAATCTGTGAAGTGCGGCTGCTCACCCCTTGAGAACTCTCGAGCCGGGAACACGGTTTTCCGCCGGGCAGCTGCCACGCTGGCGGCACGGAAAACATCGGGGCGACAAGCTGCGGGGAGACGCGCAGCCCCAAAGCCGGATGGGACCAGTTTCCCAGCAGGGCGGAGGTCCGAGGTGGCAACAGGAGTCCAGGAGGCGAGGCAGGAAGTGGAGACTGTGACTGGTACAAACGCAGTAGATCAGCAAACGAAGGGCCTACAACCTCTCTGATTCCTCAAGAGGACTACTATACAGTAGGACTTGAAGAAGACCTGCCTCTGGGAGAAGACCAGGTGTATGTCTCAGAGAGACTAGAGCGAAGTGCAAGATGCGCTGCAGCGGCGGCAGCGGGAGCGGCGTTTCGACGGGCTGCCTTGGGACTTCGGCCACGTTGGACGAGGAGAAAGATGCTGCGAAGTCCCCCTAGAGGACTCTCTCACGCCGCGGAAGGCGGCAGATGCGGGACAAGCAGAAGTGCAGAAGGCAGGGACCTTCACCAGTCGAAGCCCTTGTGACGACTGGTCGCAGACTCAGAATGAACGTGACCGTTTGACCGAAAACAAGCGACGACCAAACGGGATTGAGCCAGACTCCTATGCACACTTGGACGAGGCAGGACTCGCGGACCACGGATGGGAATACAGCAAGATTACGTACACTTACAGCAGACGCCCTTCAGAGACTTCCCCATCCACAGCCTCCGCGCCCCGCAGACTCGGCGCAGGGCGCCCGGGCGCCCCTAAAGCCCTCTGATTCAAGCTTGGAACTTCGGGATGGTACATGTCTCAACAACTTTGAAGTGGAGGCGGCGCAGCTGGCTGTCCATGGAACTCAGGTCGCTTCGATGGCTCTACATCTGCTGGCTGCACACCATAGATTTAAGCAGGTGCTTTTGGTGAGTCCCCACTTGGCCACCTCTGCATGATGAAAATGTTGTGCTCCTGCCATCCTGTGTGCTCTAGCACGCTCCTGCACAGAACGGAAACCTATCAAAGCGAATGTAATTGGCTCGGGTGGCGGTTTACGGGAAAGAGCGTGAAATTATTCTATGATGTACATTGATCCTCATGCTGACTCGCTGGCGATACACGCTGGCCCCTGACCCTCGTGCCCTCTTCCTCCGCACTGCTTCGAGTCCGTGTATCCCAGAGCCCACAGAACGGGTACCGGCGGGCTGTGGGGCCGAGTGCCGGATTCGTACCCACATCCTGAACAGCCCATCGCGGCAACATGCAGCGCCGAGGCCTCCTGGGACTAGCTGACTAGCTTGCTTGCCAATAGAATGCTTGTATGATGGGATTCGAAAGGTCCATGACTATTATGCGGTTCTACTGGATTGACCGTAGATTCCTTTCCCTTTGCGGGGGGAGCTCTGTTCAATTGGAGCAAGTGGAGCTCCTAGGTCCTAGCAGAGCATCTCAGCCGAGGTTCATGGCCCCATGGCCGTCCTATCTTAACTCGAAGGCTTGGGGTCTAAGCATGCGGCCGATTCGCTGCACACATCATGAGTGAACTCTGTCCATGACATATCCCCGAAGTGTGGTGGTCCTGCTCTGGGACCAGTGACCTCCCAAAACACCTTGGATCATGCTGCAAGTAGCTCCTCATGTTCCACTCCTTGGTTCTTGATGCCAGTCTGTACTCCAACTGTCTTTGAGGTTCCCTCTCTTGAGGCAGTGATGCTGGGCTTCTGAAGGGCTTCACTGCAGCACGCTCAGCGGAACATCTTTTCGCAGGAGGGCGCTCAACTGCTAAGTTCAGAAAGGACTCAAGGGATCCACTGTACGGCAACGGCAAACACAAGCGATTGAACACCAAAGCGCTACGGATGCACTAGCAGATAATTCACACTGGTGTACTTTTCTTTTTGGTGTTCACTCTCCTTGAGTTTGACATATGGTGAGGACATCCACAAGCGGAATGTCTCGCGAAGGGCGGCACTGTGCTTTGTCAGCACATCGGCGAACATCAGGTCTGTAGGCACCCAATGCACCTGCTGTGGACTGATGAAGTCCTGAATGGACCTCACAGAGATCATGGTCCTCTTCTCTTCAAGAGAGGGATTTTCACTGATCACAGCGTCGTAAAGGGATTTACAGTCTGTCACCTGAAGTTGCTTCAGTGCTCCAACTTGGATCTGCTTTAAAGAGCCGCGGGGTTTCTCAGAAGCTGAACTCGGACAAACCAGCTCGGAGAGGAAGGTGTTCAGGAAGGTGCTGCGGTCAACTCCGTCGTCCATGGCGTTCGCCTCAGAAGCTAACGTTGACCTGGTAACTCTGGGACTTCGAGAGCTTCTCCAGTCCAACAGTGTAGCCTTTGTTGTGGCCTCTGTGCACTCTGGACTTGTGACCACCACTATCACGCCCATTTGGCTTTTGCCACCAGGGGCGTTAGCCCAGCTTGAGTCGGAGTAGCCCACGACCACTGTGGCGTAGTTCAAAGCCACACCTCTGAACACCAGTCCGTCCTGGTCGCTGTCCTTGACGTAGTCGATGCAGTCGTACAATGCCTTGAGCTGCGCGGGTCCATTGTCGGTCCCGAGGTTGTTCAGTGACACCGTTGCTGCAACGTCTGGTCGGGTACAGCCCGTGAGCCACTGAAGGCTTCCAGCGCAGCTTCTGTACTCACGAAGCTCCTCTGCGGTCAGCTTGGTTGTTTCGGAAGCTCTCCCGCGTGGAAGCTTCCCCTTTTTCAACTCACTCACGAAGGCCTTCTGGGTCACGACGATCTGGTACTCGCCATCGACGAACTTCAGGCTCACTTCCTTGCCCTTGAAGACAAAGTCGCCCTCATCGAGCAGGCTCTTTTGGCCCCAGGTGAACATGCCAAGGAGCTCGTCGAAGTTATAGTCCTCGCGAAACGCGACCAAAAAGTCGTCCACGTGGAACAACAAGACGATCAGGAGTTCCTCGGCGGAGTCACACTTGTAGTAAACGGTGTGGTCGAGTCGGTGTCGGCGAAACCCTGCCTTCTTGAGCTTTGACACTATGTGGTTAATCCAGGTGCGCGGTGCGTTGCACAAGCCGTAAAGGTTCCCCACGATTTCGTAGAGTTCGTGGAGAAAGGTTCCAGCCTTGCCTTGTATATCGTCACGAGGCGGCCTCATGAAGATAGGCAGGTCTCTGGTCTGAGGCTGGCCTTGAAGGAAGGCTGTACTCACGTCACCTGACCACAGTTTCCACTTCTTGCGGTTCTTGAGGAAGCGGCGGTTGTAGCCAGCGCAGGCGATCTCGTAGATCACAAACTCAGCAAGGCGAGTCGGTGTAGGACTCGAGCGGTCCAACAACCCAAGGTCAGGGTCGTGACATCCTTGTATCACGGTTCTGCACTTGGCCTTCACTGTAGGGCCTGCACCCCTGTTCTTGTCACGGTAAGCGTTCCTCGATGGCATGATCCTCTTCCTCAGGACTGGATCACTCCTGACCCGATCGGCCTCCAACTTGGTGAGTGGCCGAATGGAGTTCCAGGACATCCAGGAGTCGTACTCCTTCTTGTTGGCCTGGACGAAGAGGCTGATGACATCGGAGGGGTAGTCGCTCATAAGCTTCCTCCAAGGGATCGTTGGCTGGTCCGCTTGCATCGTCGCCAGAAGAGTCGGATGACACATCATCTCCCTCGTGCCGAGCAGCACAGCAGCGAAAAGCAACGCAAGGAGAGTGAAGGCGGTAGTCTGGAGAGCCATCCCAGCCTGCTTCCGGAGAATAGACCTCGTAGAGAGTGTCCAGCACGAAGTGGGTGAGGAGGATTGAGTGGATCTCCTCCTTCTTCTTCTTCTTGGTTGACGCCTTAAGCGCCGTATGTGCCTTCTTGGTTGGAGGCACCTGCGGTGGGCTATCATCCACCATCTCCCGGCTCTGCGGTTCAGCAGCGCTCGTAGTAGCTTCAAGTGTCCCCGACGCAGTTGCCGTAGTGACATCACCAGGTTGCCCGTCTTCAAGAGGGGCACCGTACTCAGCTGAGCCGTACATCTCAGCAGAAAAAGGAACCAAAGGAGAAACTGGGAACTCAGAAGGAACCGGCGTTGGTGGTTGTGGAACTGGTACAGGAGGTCGTGGAGCAGGTTCAACCACTGGTGGCGTAGGTGGTGCCGACGTAGAAGCTTGTGCCGGTCGAGGCGTCGAAGGTGCTCTATCCAAGAGCTGGTCACGCTGTACAGACGCCCTTCTTCTAGGAGTCGCAGGCACCCGCGGTGTCGAAGGTTGTCGTGGAGTCGGAGGTTGTAGCTGAGGAGTCTGTGGAGCTGGTCGGCCCCTTGATCGGGACCTCGCTAGTCCCGGTCTGGCACCAGAGCCTTCAGCAAGCTGCCAAATGTTTTGCTGGTACCTCGGAGAGAAGACGTTGATGTTCTGGGCGGTTGCTGGCGCATCGCCTCCATCACCATCTCCAAAAGCAGCTGAAGGAAGGGCCAGCTCTTGTTGTGCTGGCGGCTCTTGTGGCTGTTGTTGTGGAGGTGGCTCTGGTTGTGCATCACGTCCCATTGCTGGAAGTTGATAAAGTTCTCCAGATTCGCCGACTCCCGACCTTTCAGAGGTAGTCGGTCCCAGCGGTTCTGGTAGAGCCGTGACGTTGGGCTCCAGTGGTTCTTCAGGAGGTGGTCCGGGTTCTCTGGCATCCTCCCAAAAACCTTGTTGAAGAAGTTTGCCGCCTTCCTTGAGCATCTTGACATCCTGAGGACTGGGAGTCCACATCTCAATGCCTATGGCTGGCCGTAGTTGCTCGTGGGTGACTTGAACCAATGAGCCGCCACTTTGCACCCATGCGTTCTTTTCATCCTTGACCACAAGCCGTCCAAGGATGTAGCCACCGCGTTTGCGGCCGCGAGCTTTGAGGTTCCAGCGCCAGTACGCAACAAGGGAACCCGGCAGTAGCTCTTCCACACGTGCTCTGGAAGCAGCGGATTTCCTCAACAGGGCCCGCCTTATCACTGAAGATGCGGCCATTTCTTGCACCACTTGGCAGGCTTGGGACCTGAGTTGCTCGGTCAACCTGTGGTAGTCGGAGGTCACAAGAGCAGCACTGTCAGCAAGAAGATCCCCCGGAAATCGGGGAAGTTTGCCGAAAACTGCTTGCATGCTGCTTCTCCCTCTCGTGTGGATACTGCTGTTCACTGCCCAGATAGCAGCACTCAGGCATAGATCAAGTTGCTCTTTGCTGCTCACACCGTGCTCGTCAATGAGCCGCTCAAGAACAGACCGAAACACTGCGTTGCGTCTCTCGATGGCACCGATTTGGTGATGCCCGTCAGCTGGAACAACTGTGAACACCACACCGCTCTCCTGAAGGTGTTGCTGAAAGGCACCCTCAAAAGCACCGTCAGCATCGACACTCATGAAGAGGGGGTAACCGTAGGGTCGCAACCACAGTCTATCGAACTCGTTCAGAACAACCTGAGGATCACGAGACGGAAGAATTGCCGCCTGGTAGAGCTTGGTCGCCATGCAGGTCACACCTAGCAGCGTGTGGTTCACTGTGGCAAGATCACGCACATAAAACACATCTGCTTGCAGCTGCTCAGCAAACTGACCCACGAACTCAGGTACTGAGGCGGGACGTGGTTTCAAAGGAAGCCGTGCCCTCTCACAAGTACCGCACTTCATGTGATCAAGAGCTGCAAGCACTGGTGAATTTATTGAACCGTGAGCTGCCAAAAGTCGAACAAGCTCCTGCTTTGGTGGGTGCCCGGCATTGCAATGTAGCCTGGCCACTGCTGCACGAACCTCTTTTGGAATGCTCTCTGGGATGCCCGGAAACGTGATGTCGGTGCGCAGCCCAGGAACATGTGACTGCGGCTCGGTGTTGGGCGCCGCGGTCACCTTATCGTCCTCTGCCATGCCATAGAAGAATATTGCGACGCGCACCGGTGCCTCGAACTTCAACTTGGGCTGCCTTATCTCATTGAGGTCCTCACTTTCAAGCTGAAGCTTCCCAGAGTGCAGCAACAATGCGGCACCGCGGTGAGTAAAGGGGACATCGGAGGGCAGCCGTCGAGTCATCGGTTGGGCGCATGCCTGTGCGCGGGTGATCTCCCACGGCACCAGTTGCATCAGCTCTCGCATCTCCTTAGAGTTCTCTGACAGGTAGAAGTAGCGGCTTCGCCCCAGGCTTGTTTCCACCATCTCTAGCAGTTTCAGCCATCGCTCCGGATCGTCGACGGGCGGTGCATACCACACGTCGTGGACCACATCATCGAATTTCCACGGGCATCTCATTTGAGCTTCGAGGCGGATGGCACCAAGGAGGGCCACACCTATGTCTGGTGGCTTTTCCTTCTGTCTCGCAGCATTCACCATGCACCGGCTGTTCGTCACGAACTCCATTGCTTCGCCCTTGCCCTCCGCGGTGTCCTGAAAGATCACAGCAGAGGTGCCAGGCATGTGCACGATGTTCTCCAGGACACCCGTGTGGTCGTGGTGCAAGTGGTAGCTGAAACTGATCACAAACAGCCTGTCGTTCTTTACTTGCAGTTCGCAGCACTTTTGCACCATGTGTTTTGCCATGGCGCTTTGCCTCTGCATGTTGTGCACCACCAGCACATGTGGCCGAGCCTTGGTACACACTTCCAGAAGCAACTCACAATCGTTGTGCATGTCGTGGTTGGCCAGATTCACAAAGGAAAGGCCAAAGTCCCCAGCCCGAGATGCCAGGTTATATGTGAATCTCTCCGTTGCAAAGCGGTCCTCCCAAAACACCTCAAGGAGATCAGCACCCACATGTTGATAGAGGTCACCCGGCTTCTCCTCATACACCTTGACCTCTTGCTCCAAAAGCTGTGCTGACTTCCCGAAGTTATGAATGAGCCGCTTCATGGCACCCTTCTTGATGCCTCTCACCAGTCCTGGACCAGTGCCCAGTCGTAGTCGCTCGGGCTCTCCTCTTCTTCGTCCGTATCGGGGATCATCATGTTGGCGGCCGTCATCCCAGGGTACCCGGACACCGAAGTTGCCGAAGTCGGACGAGGTCGAGTCTTTGGCATCGAACCCGGAGGTGGCCCGGTTGACGAAGACGCTGGAGTCCAAGACGTGTCCACCACAGTCTGGGCCGACGGCAAGGGCAGCGCACAAAGACTTGGAAGACGGATGAAAGCGCCATCCACGGGTTTCTCCATCTTCGACCCACTTCCACCGGCATTGGCAGTCGTTGCAGGTCGCGTACCTTCCCGTGGCGTTGCCGTGCCTCTTGATTGAAGCGTGTGCACATGTCGAGGGTGGCACGGCGATCACTGGCTTGGCCCTGGCCTTGCTCTTGCGCTTGGGCTTGGCATCTTGGATGGTCTGAACGATCTTGTCCCCATCTCCGACGCGGCACATCCTGTGAGTCAGCACCACGGCCCGGATGGTCATTTTGCGCAACATCATGATCATGCGCCTCCACGCCACAAGCCATGGCGGAGGTGTGGTCAGCATTTCTGGAATCACACGCGGCTGAAACACCCGAAGGAGGCTCTTGAGCTTCAGTGGTTGAGGAGGTTTGGGCTGGCTCAAGAAGCTTGCTTTCACAGAGAAACTCGCAATCATGATAGTCCTGCTCTTCCCACGCAAAGTCCAGCACACTAGCAGGATACTCTGAAATCTTCATGCACAGATGGCCTTGAAGGAGGTGCAGGTCGACCGTGCACCCGAGGAGTCCGATATAGGCCTTGTGCTGTGCCAAATCGAGAACTATGCCCAATTTTTTAAGTAAGCTGAGGCTTGCCAAGAAGGGAATCGAGAGGTTGTCCAAGACGGAAGCGCTGAGGGCTATCATCGGGTAGCTTGCGTCAAAGGCCACCGGAAAATAAACGCAAGTATCCGACCTCTGCGGTGGGCCGGCTCCGAACTGGAAGGCCTCGTGGCGGCGAGCACATAGCATCTTAAGACCAAAACTCGAAAGAAGCTCTTTGTGACAGTCGCTCCACGCACTGCTGCAACATGACCGCTGGCACGCTGTATCCACAACACAGTAGCCCTGCAACTCTGTGACGTTGGCCATGCACATGTACTCTGACGACTGAAACACCACGAGTGTGCTGTGGACCCGGCTGATGGTCTCGCCGGTATTGCCTGCAGCAGTGGCTGGCTGTCGGGCATCTAGCTCATAGAGTGTCTCTTGGCCGCCAGAGTGTCGGACTGAAAACACCTTTTGCATCGCAGCGCCCTTGGTGTTGGCATTGTCGGGGGAACTTTTGCCCTTGTTGCCAGCTTTGGCTCCTTTGCCTGACATGGCGCACTCACTATCTCCTGCCCAATGCCCGGTCTGCCCGCACGCGCTGCACGAAGAGGTTTTCTTCCTCTCCTCTATGGTCTTCCGCGGTGCCCCGCGGTATTTCCTCCCCTGGGTCATCGCCTGCAACTTTTTGCTCGTCACGGTAAGGACCTGCATCAAGCTCTCGACGCTCTCCTCGCCTTGGTCGTCGTCAGGAAGAAGCTCTTCATCGCCGTCGTCTGGCTCCTCGCCGTCGCCGTCGTCGGCCTGGTCGGGGTAGTCGGCGTCCTCTTCCCTGATCGCCTGGAGGGCCGTGTGGTACTCATCCTCGGCACCTTCCTCGCCCGGGGAAACCTCAGCAACATAAGTCCTCCGAAACGGTGGTCCCGAACTCGTTCCACTCGAGCTGGCTCCTCCTTTGTTCATTGGCTTGCCTTTCCCCGGGCCCTTCGGAGGCCTGTCTGTTCCCACCAGGGTGGCCGTGATCACGCCCGCTGTTGTTCATATGGCCCTGGAGGAAGGGGGCCGGCTTATGGTCCGGGTACTGGAGCAGCATGGCATTCTTGACATCGTCGAAGGAGAGGCTCTGGTTGGTCCCCACCAATATCATCCTTTGTTGTTCTGAAGACAGCTTGGCTCTATCGAGAAGTCTAGAGCCCCGGCTCTCGGCGTCATAGGTCAGGCCCACATCTATCCCGATACTCATCAGGGCCTTCTCTGCCCTATGGTAGCGATTCACATAGGTCCTGATCCCTTCGGCCGGCAGCCGGCCGATCGTCTCATAGTCGGAAAGGTACTTCCTCTTGAGGTAGATCTCCTTAGCCTGAAGTGGCCCACGAAGCTGGTTCAAAAGAAAGGTCACACCGTCCTTGCTGTTGAGCTTCTTGATGTCGATGTGTTCCAGCTCCTCTTCGGCCTCTCCGGTCAGGCTGCAATACAAGGCCAAAGCAGACTCGGCCTCGGACATATACGGCTTGACCTGGATCTGCCATATACTCACCTTGCGCTCGAACTTCGTGAAAGCTCGAAGGTCGTCCTTGGCATAGGTCCACTTTGGAGGTGGTGGTGGGGCTCCGCCGCGCCACTTAATGCCGCGCTCGGGCCCCTTCTTGCTATTCCAGGAATCTGTGTCGGAGTGGCTCTTGTTGCGAAGGGCCTGGCGTAGGCCGCGCAACACGCTCGAATCACCCACAGGTTGCCTGTCTTCCTCAGCATCGGTCTGGGCAGCCTGAGGTGTGCGAAGTGATTGGGCTCTCTGTGCTCTCCGTTGCCTGCGACTCAGATAGTCGTTGGCCCTGGCCTCGCTCTTCCCGGTCACGGAGCTGGCAGAGCTGGGCGTCACCACGGGGTCGTTGGTCGGCGCCTCGCTCTCGGCTCTGCCTTCGTCTCCATCTCCACTGTCAGAAGGATCGCCAGGGTGCCGCCGTTGAGTTCCACGTCCTTTTCCCCGCCTTAGCGGCGAGACCGAAGACACCGAAGAACTCGGAGAAGCGGCAGCACTCCCAGTCCTGTGCGGTCTGTAAGTCCACACTCCTTGCTCAGTCTCAAGTGTCGCCGGCTGGTTGGCATCATACAGCTCACTGGAACCACACTGAAGGCAAAACCAGTTGTCACGCCAACGATCCCAAGCACAATCGGTACTAGCACACTGCTTGCACACCCACAGCTCTTCGTACTCAGGGTAGTAGGTAGGGTGTTGTGGTGGTTGAGGAACACGTTGGAACTGTGGAAACCGTGGAAATGCCCGGTCACGAGCAGGGCCTCGAAGAGCAGCATCTGGAAGACCATTGGGAACATGAGGCTGGCCTTGCGCATGCATGTCCTGTCCAGGAAGCTCTCCGGTCGATGCACCCCGATGCTGCCTCATTTCACTGGCTTGCAGGCTAAAGAAATCATCGCCGAGCCAGGTATCAAGGTCAGGGACATCGTTCTCACCAGGAGGTGGCGCAAGCACAGGCCTCGAAGCCATAGCGCCCCAACTGCAGGCCTTCTCCCCAGATCGACAGCTCCGCTGCCAACTTGAGGCAGTGATGCTGGGCTTCTGAAGGGCTTCACTGCAGCACGCTCAGCGGAACATCTTTTCGCAGGAGGGCGCTCAACTGCTAAGTTCAGAAAGGACTCAAGGGATCCACTGTACGGCAACGGCAAACGCAAGCGATTGAACACCAAAGCGCTACGGATGCACTAGCAGATAATTCACACCCTCATCTGGAATGCCCGCACACCGGTCTTCTTGTTCTTTTTGCATGGGAAACCTATTTCAATATTGCAACACCACTGGGATACCCGAAATCCAGACACTGTTCTCGTGTGTGCCGCCAAAACCACACGGCCTGCTGCACGCACATGTACTAGCATCTACATTTTTTCTTTGTAGGGTTGAGGTTGGGAAAGATAGTTTCCAAGAAGCGCAATTGGTTGACAGGTTGGGATCGAGACTCAACACTGATGAAATCTGAAATTCTGTCTGCTGTCTGCTCCACTCGCATCGTCGTGAGAATCCTGTCCGACTGATACTCAATGGGAGCGGGGACTTTTGGTGGCACCGCAGCGGATTCGACAGCCGTGCTGTCAATGCCCCTGAGATTACAAAAGCCCGGGGGCTTAAAGCGCAAAAGCGCAAAGCGACAGAGATATCGGATTCGTACTTTGACATCCAGTGAGACCTGCCGCCTGCAAACTTCAACATCCCCTCCCAGTAGTGTTTTCTCCTATGCCACTTTCTGTGAATTAGTCCCGAGCCCAGCGCCTGTACTTGAAAGCACGACTCCAGATTAAGTCCTTTGAGCCTCCTGGATCTCGCACCTTACGGGAGCTCCGCTCATATTGCATGCGACGCAGCGTCCAGTGGCCTGCACAGAGCTGGCTTGTACAGCACACACTCCTCTAGCTTTCGACCGGCATCTACAGTCCGCATGTGCGGCGCACGTGAGGGACAAGAGGTGCGGCATCTCCTCAGAGTGCCAAGGGAATCAACCTCCTGCCCAGGATGGCAGAATGCGCAACTAAGCCAGCAACCCATCTCTCATCAGTGAAACCCTGCAGGACGTCCAAGTCAAGAAAAAATCCTTGCGAAGAGATAGGCCGTGTCCTTCACAGACTCCAGCATCACCCACTCGTCCTCACGCACACGCGATTCTCCTGCTTCCCCCCTGCTTCGGCCTTGCCCACCTCCTCCGCGTCCGGCAAAGCATCGGGAGCACGAGCAGTTTGCGGCAGCGCGTCCACCTCCCTCCTCCTCTCTGTCCCTGCCCCGAGGAGTCTGCAAGATGAGGGCCAAGTAAAAACTTCAACATCAGCCTTGAACCTCGTGCAGCTCGTGCCGCTCCTGCAGCTCTTGCCGTGGCGAGGGGGAGGTCTCCTGTGCATCCTGCAGAAGACGGAAGTCACATGGAGGCTGCTTTGGGCCCTGGCCCTGGCCTTGGCCCAGGCCTCCCAGGTCTCACGCGCCTCTGCGAAAGACGCTCGACCGCAGCCGCTCGACTCTCAGAGCTCCCGCTGCCTCCGAGCTGGGGCTGGGGGAGTCCGAGTCGGCGAGTTTGGCACCGGCAAGCAACAAGGAGGCCGCTGCCAGCTCAAAGAGCGGCATATCTCTGTCCAAGCCCCACCGGCCGCTGTTTGCTGCGTTGGAGCCAACTGCGGAAGATGAGACATGCCATGCGAAGTGCCGCAAAAGTTGGGAGGGCTGGGCAAAATCGGCGAGTCACCGCTTTTCCTCTGAGACGCACCGGGCCGTGCTCAGCACGTACCCAGTTGCGGGCGAGGCTCCCTGAGAAGCCGCGAGGAAAGGCGTTGCAAGGGAGCTGGGCACCTGGGCCCGGGCCCCCTCCGAGGAGCCCGAGGTCTTTCTGTCACATCCTGTACGACCCTTGCGACCCTTTCAGCCCCTACCCATGTTGTGTACCTGCCGATGCTCCCGCCGCACGCCCCTGCCACGAATGTCTGCACTTTGAGTTGTCGCTACTGCCCACAGAGCACAGCGTGTCACGGCCGAACACAGAGATTGTGATCTACTCCTGCGAGTAAGGCTGTCGCCCTCTCTGTTTCCTTCTCCGTTTCTCTCCGTTTCTCTCTGTCTCTCTATCTCTGTCTTTCTCTCTGTCTCTCTCTCTCTCTCTCTCTCTCTCTCTCTCTCTCTCTCTGTCGTAATCTTGCTATGCTTACTCATGTCTTCCTCCTTGTCGTCCACTTCCTATCACTGCTCTTCTTAACTCTGACGTTATTCTCTCACCTATCCCTTCTTCCACACAGTCACAAAACAGAAAGAGCAGGCGGACCCCCGGCCCATTCACAGGAGGTCGATCTATCACTTCTTCATCTTTCGCTGGCCCTCTATTGGCGAGGTGTTCACCCTCCCGTTGGGGGGAAGGATTTTCTCCTGGAGGCTCGGCTGTAGGAAACAGAGCAAGCGACGTGAGTGGTTGTTCCTGGTATTCATAACGCCCCCCACAACTCGCATTTTCAAGTAACCACATCCACTGCTCCCCCAGGAATTGCACTTACTTATGGCAGCTATTCTCAAACACTGCTGTAAGGAAGTGTTGCCCCTTTGTCGGCAGACTCTGTGGCTGCGACTCGACTGCAACACTCCGAGGGCCGGGCCAAGGTTAGCACAGGTCAGTAATCCCCCGCAGACGTATGCTAGATACTCCTCCTCCTCCGAAGGCAAATAACTGACAAGGGCCGATCTTATACTCGCCCCTCAGCACTACAGCTGGTACTACACTAGCGGAAGGATGCAGAAATTTCCGCTTCCAGGAACTGAGTTGTCGCTCTCAGGTCGCCTTCTCTTCCAAAAGGCACCCGGCTTCCACGCGCCCCTATGGCACGATTCGACTTTCAACAGCATTCAAAAACATGCAGTAATTTGCCGCCCCTGTTTCAAAACAGCCTGAGGGCACCCGCAGGACCGCCAACGGTTTCTTTCATGGTCGCCCCGAAACCCCCCTCCCACGAAGCAGTCCATCCCCACGTTAGCAGGGGTTTCCCACTTCGCAGAAACAGGAGCGCGCCCGTGCACGAGACCACTCGAAGGCCGTTGCCTCTCCGTGTCTGCGCGCCGGCGTGCTTGCATCGAATTGCAATCACACTTCCTGTGATCTGCTTGCATGTGGCTTTCTTGACCAGGCGAACTCACCCCCAGTTTGGTCACGGTTCTCCACCGTCTTAGCCCCGGCTTCAGCTTGCCGTCACCCCGTCCGTGTTGTTGCACGCCCCCTATGGCGCAGAAGTGTTCGCGAGGATGAGGAGGAGCCGGGTTTCACTTGTCTGGCAACGGCTTCGGCATTGGCTCACAGGGGGGCGGCCCCCATTTCCCGAGAATTGAGCCAAAATTCTCCCCCCGCTCTCTCTCTCTCTCTCTCTTTCTTTCCCCAGGCTTGAGGGCATGCCCCCGCGGCGGGAGCAGCCCGTCTCTCTCTCTCTCTCTCTCTCTCTCTCTGAAGCCATCAGATACTGCAGGCTGCAGGCTGCGCTCGCAAGCTCGTGCAAACTTCTGACCGGGACTTCCAAGCGGCCAGAGGCCAGAGTGGCCAGAGTGGCCAGACGCCCGAGCGGACGGGCGAGTGAGACAGGCCGGTCGAGGCCGGTCCAAGAGCTCTCACCGCGCAGCAGGAAAGGGCAACCCGTGGCGGCCAGCGTGCCTCTGCAAAGGCACGGCTGTGGCACAGCTAAGGCACGGCAAAGGCATGTCACCGGAGCACAAGAGCCACGCTGCAAGTAGTCTTCGATTTTTCGCCCGTCACGAAACTCTGCTCAAAGCAGATCTGGAGCGCGAAACAGTCGTAGGCCGAATGCCAAAGCCCCGAGCGCAGCGCGAGGCTGAGCGGTGCTCTAAGCCCGCGCTCGGAGCTGCACCGGACGCTTGCAGAGCCGACGGCGACGGCTTTGAAAGGGGCTTCGCTCTCAGTCGGGTATATGAGAGAAGTCCATCCGTCTCCAGAGCACGATGCGGCCCAGCCTGCTACGGCGGCGAAGGGCACCGAAGGCACGCAAGCTGCTCGCAAGCTGCCACTTAACACATCCGAGTTTGCAGCGAGTCGGCACTGGCCAGCAAAGTGTCCTGCCGTCACAGCAAGTTTTCGGAGCCGAATCGGTCTCTGAGGAAGCGGCCTGCATGTTCACAGACACAGCCACCACAGGAACCTCACAGAGAGCGCCATCATTGCCGATGTGCCAGGAAACGGGCTCTCCTGATGGTGCTTCAGGGGCTGCATCTTGTAGTTGGAACCTTTCCCCAAGGGGTAGATGTGGACCTCACACTTCGGTCTCGGTCTCTCTCTCGCTCTCTCTCTCTCTCTCTCTCGCTCTCTCTCTCTCCCCTTTCTCTCAGCACAGGGCGTCTTTATTCTCGGAACCTGAGATCAGGTAGCCTGACAGAAGCACGAGGCATGGCTTTTGAGCAATACGGCAAGCCGCCCCGGCGGCCTGGGCCAGACGGAGAATAACAGTTCTTCAGTGGCAGAAGCTCATGCCTCGACAGAGGCAGCCCGCATCCCTCACCCTCCCCTCACCACCCTGGCCCTGGCCCTTCTCCGCTTGTGGGCTCCCTGCGCCACCCGGACCCGATGTCTCACCGCGAGGTTGTTCAGGACCTGCGCCAGGAGCTCCCAGAAGCAGGGCCAGGGCCGCCCGGCACCGCCAGCCGGGGTCCCGCCGGGGTCCCGCCGGGTCCCGCCGGCGTCCCGCAACCGGGGTCCCGACCCCACTCGGCGGGCCATAGGTGCAGTCAATGATGGTCGCAGAGCAGTCCGAGGTGTTCACCAACAGGCACGGCCTCTGGCCCACGGCCCCCGGACCGGAACCCCGTCTTGCAGTCTTCCCCGCACACTCGGATTCAATAAACCTGATCTTCAAACTCAGTGCCCCAACGGCTGCCCACCGGATGCTGGCACGAAGGTGATGCACGTCACACCTGACTTTCCCAAGATTCATCCCCTTCCACACGGCTCACCGATGCCCCTCTGTCATGCACCTCCTCGTGCAAGGTTTACCTGACCAAGAGCGCTTCAGCAACGTCCACCGTTCCGACTTGTTGCAGATGATCTCCACTGACCTTGAACTTGAATTTCAGCGTGTTGGCATCCGAAGCCTGTTTGCACATGCAACGCAAGAGTGGTTCGCGAGTCCGCTTCCGGCCCGGCGCCTCCAGCACATGGATACTGCCACTTTTCGTGCCTGGCCATGGCCAAGCAAAAAGACACAGCTGAGCCTCGCTTTAGCGGCGCCGACCTGCGAGAAGGAAGAGGCCCGTGTCGTCGAACTTCAGCGCCCGGACCTCGGTCTCCACCTGACAGTTGACACAGTGCACTTGGCTCTTAAAGCAGCAAGATTCCTCCGGCTCCCACCTTGAGCTTCTGCAGGACCATCCCGTTCTGCACCTAAGAAGAGCAGAAGAGCTGAAGAGGACTTCGAGGAGTTGGGAGCTCCGCCGAGAGCCCAACATTCACCAGCCGGAGAACTGCGTTGGAATTGGCTGCGACGAAAACCTTCCCACTCCCACTCAAGACCTCTCCTAACAGCTAACAGAAACCGCTCGGACCGAACCTGCGGGTTGAAGGGAAGGAAAGCGGCTACGGGCACTGGCCTCGTGAAAGGAAGACTCTGGTGCATTGCAGATTTGGAGCAAATTGGTCGCAGACGAGCTGTCCGTGAAGACTTTGAGCATCTCCCCACTGTCGATGCTCCAGAACCTCACTGACCTGAGTGGAGGCCGCGTCTCGCACCAAGCTCGGCGGACAGCTCGGGGAGCTCCCCGGTTGGGAGCAGCGCTTGTCGATGGAGGTGGTGACCAGCTGATCTTCCAGCAAATTGAAGAAGATGCTGGTGATGGCACCTGGCAGTTTGTCGCTGCGCGCTGCAGCGCCGCCGCGTCTCGTCGTATAGAGTCATCCTTTCTCGGCTCCCTGCGAGAGTGGCCCACGAGTCTGGAGTGCACGGCGATGTTCGAATGGTCCTCGGAGGCCAAAAAGCCCAAGGCCGGGCGCTGCTCCCTCTTCCCTCTCGGCTCGTGGCGGCGGGAGGCGAGGAGTAAGCGCCTTCTTCCGGAGCAAAGTCCTGGTCCAGCATGGCCTTGATGAGAGAGGAATGGCGGAACAGCTCAGCTCACAGCTTCCACAGCTTCGGCTCCGGACGATCTCCATCTCAGTGCGGTAGCAGCGGTACACCACCACGGTCCCGTCCTGTTCTGGTGTTCTCTTCGACGCGGCGACTCGCAAAACGACTCTGCAAGTGGATGCCGCCTTGGAGGCGGTGGCCAGCAGAACATAAGCCTCCGCATTGGTGCCGGGGGGGGGGGCGCTCTGGTTCCATTCCTGACAAGCGCCCAAGCGCCCAAGAAGCGCCCACCTTGTGCAGCCTCTCTTGGCCGAAGCAGATGCATGTCACGGCCTGAGGAAATCTCTCTATTCCTCAAGCCGCTCCCTTTTCCCGGGCTCTTTTCACCCCCGACTTGGCCCTGGGCCGAGTCCGAATCTTGCAGCTCCTGACGCAGCCAGGAAAGGGCTCTGGCTGAAGCCGAAGCCGAAGCCATTTCCCGACTTTGGCTTCGCCAGCAAAGTTGGGTTCTTGGTTTCTTAATTTCTAGTCTTGGAGTTCTGCGGAGCTTACGCAGGTTGTTTATCCTGTGAAAGAGTGAATGCTATGCCGATGCGAGACAGTCGACAGGGCCTCAACGCTTGATGTGGCCTGGTGGGAGGTTTCTGCTTGAAGTCCTGGAGTCGTTTGGGCTCCAATACTATTCAACCCCGAGCACATTTTTACTCGGGGGACTTGATCCCAAGCATCAGCAGGCCATTCATGGAAGCCTCACCGAGCAGCTCAAGCTGTCAGGGTGGACATATCCAGGTTGCCCCGAAAGAACTGTCACCTCGAGCTGAGGGCCACTCTCCGGCGAGAATCTCTGCGGCTCTGCCTGCTTCTTGGCCCTTTGCGACTGCGTTGTGCCGCCGACGCTCCGAACGGCACTCGTCGCTTTCACGGGGCTGCCGGGCCGGCGGGGCCAAAGGGGCCGGCGTTTCGTATCTCCTTCTCGGCCCGCGCTTTCACGCGCTTGGATGGCTGAAAGAAATTCCCTGAGTTGAACTCCTGACCCGCGAAGCGACGCAAAACGATGCCAAGCCGATGCCCTCGCATAAGTACTGACAGAGAGCTGAAGACCGGAGCTTCAAAGCTCGGACTCCACTGTCGTCGTGAACCTCTTCTTGAAGCACGCTCAAACAAGAAATGTGTTATACGTTGCAGAAGGTCCAAAAGGGACCTACACCCGCTCGCCCGTTTCGCGAGCGGAGCTGCATCCAACCAGGCTGGCGACATGCTGTGGAGAGTCCAAATCTAGATTCTCCTATGGAAACCTTGTCGCGACTTCTCCTTCCTCTAAGTGATAAGCTTTCCGGCGCGATGTCCATATGCTAATCACAGGCCTGGGCTTGCTCAGAAAACGACTTATGTGGCAGGCTTTAGTTGCAACTGCATTTACGGCAGTTCGTGGATGGAGAATGGAGATGAGCGCGCTCGGAAAGACAGGAAGCTGAAGACTTCTGCTTTTCAAATATCACTGTTGAGCCCCCATCGTGCCTGAACCGGACGCAGGTCCACGTTGGGGTCGCCTTCTTTTCGTGCCTTCACCATGGAAAATGCAAGGTGGAGAACCAGCTACGGTCTGCCTCTCCAACATCAGCGGTTTCCCTACATATTCCGATGAAGAACTGCCCCAGCAACCCTTCGAGTTCATCTCATCGCAACGTCGGCAAGTCGTGCCTGCTTCATGGCCTTCGTTCCCTTCAAGGAGGGCCTGCGAATGCCAAGAAGAATTTTGCTCCGCTGCTGAGCTCGGCTGCGCTCGGCTCCTGAGGACTCCCTGACCCTTGGCCCGCTCTCCACCGAACCAACTCTTCACGCTGTCGATGGCGCTGGAAATCGCACCTCAGCTGCGAGGGAGCGAGAGCCTGGGTCGACTCTTCTCGCTCGGCTGCTCGGCTCTTCTCGCTTGGTTCCAAGCTTCGTTTGCCGTCTGGAGAGATTGGCTCCTGCGGAGAGCCGCAGGCCAGAGGCGACCGCCACGGCCAGTTCGAAACATGTGACAGCTCTGTTGGCCAAATGTCTACTGTGGCCTCTAGACTCTCTGACTCTCTCACTCTCTGAGTCTCTGTCTCCCTCTCTCTCCCGCCCAAACAGCGCCTGACTGTCGAGCATCTCCTGAAAGCGGTTGTGCGATATCAGAGAGCGGCGGTTTTCAGCGGTGCCTAAGGCAGAGCCTCGCTGTTCAAGGCAAACTGCACGGCATCCATGAGCTTGGAGCTTTCCATCGCAGCTCCTCGAAAACACCCGGGCGCATCTCGGAAGCGTGCAACACAGTCGTCTCCGTCGTCTCCTTCGTTTCGTACCGCAGCATCTTTGGCGGCAGCAACATCCACCTCACAAAGCACAGACTCACGCCCTCTCTTGCTCAGCACCTGGTCGGAGCCTGAATGGGATCACCTTTGTCCACATTGTACCTCAACGAATTTGCCACGGGAGTTGATACAACAAAAAAGCACGCTGAGGCGCACTTGTTGCCGAAAAGCAGGGGCCTTGCACCCGCTGCATGCACCTGTCAGGACCCCAAACGACTGCTCTTCTTAGGATTGCCAAAGCCCCGACCTCTTGTGTCAGAGCGAGAGCATGCTCTAAGGACTCCCTTTTCGACCTTTGCACACGCACTGCCTTGCACTGACTTGAGGCACTCACATCTCGGAGTTTTGGAGCACTGGTTGCCAGGACGTCGGCAAGTCATAAACGATGAAGACCCACGTGGAGCGGGCAAAGCGCTCCTTGACCAAATGTGCTGCCTCGGACTTGGCACAACTTGCAACTTTGCACAATTTCCGGTGATCTTTACATCAGCTTCTGCATGCTGGCGAGGAACACGTGAATTGCCGGAGCAGTCCAACATCTTCACGGGCTTGTCTCCCACCTGCCAAAGGTGCGAGAAGCTTCTTTCATGGTGCCCGGATATCCATCTACCGATCTTCTGTCTATCTCCAGCATACTATCCCAGCTACCCATGTGCAGGAAATCCCTTGTCCCAGGCCGGTACAAACGTGACAAGATGCATTGTTGGCGGGTCTTCGCGATAAATCTTGGATTTATGTTTCTTAGCCTCTGGAAATCTTAGACTGGAACTCGGCTAACAAATGCTGCCTGCGCTGGGAATGCTAATTTATAGCGTTGGAACAGGTGATGTTCCCGCTGCTGATTTCAACAAATGCTCTGCGATGCTCTGCGTTTCCAGTTTGCAGTCCTTCGCCTACGCGCATTACAAACAAGCCAAACCTTCCGCATTCCGAAAATTGGGGGTAATCCGCGTGTTTCGCGCCTCAAGCTGTCAGGTGCGAAAGCAACATAACCTCGCCATAATGGCCATTGGAAACCTACAGGTTTAAACCTGCACACATCCCTTCCATAAATAGTCCTGCATGCTGCATGCTCCTCGACTGAGGACAGACTTTCTTAAACCTCGTGCTGGGACAACTCCGAGAGCATCAACACCCAAACAAATGACGAGTGCTTGGGTTGTGCATATGTGATGGAGACGATCCTTTTGGGAGGGAGGGGGTATATGCAGGACCCGGCACCAGGCAGCTGCCTCGATTTCACTCAATGACAAGATGGGACAAGAGGAGCAAGACTCATAGAAACAGGATGACCTGTCAGGATTACAGAACCGAGCAGGATACCCCCCCACGGGAACCAAAACGCTCACATCGGCAGCCTGTGCCGCCTTTATGGTGATGATGAGATTCTCCTAATATTACCCGCAGTTATCACAGAGCTTGACACCCAATCCAGTCTATTGAGCAAGGCCTGAATCTGGTGGTGCGCCATGAAATTCGACTTCTGCTCGTTGAACTTCGGCAACTGCTGTGGGTCCTCGGAGGGATGCTCCGTGACAAGACGGAAAGAGATGGGGCAGCTTGGGCGCAGACGTGCTCGGCGATGAGAGTCTCCAACCTGCGAGCACGCAAAGCCCGCAAGGCTTAAGGCTCAAACCACCCGAGGCCCTGGCAAACACGTCTTGCCGGAGGACTGCGCCCCCGCCAATTGGATGAAGACGTTCCGCTGACTGCCGGCCTGTCGCCTGCAGCACTTCAACGAAGCAAGGCGACGCGACGCCCAAGGCGACTGCCCTGCACCTGGGCGGCCCGGGCGTCGCCTTCGCCTTGGGCTGGGCACCCGCAGCACTCGGCAAGCCGGCGACGGACCTGTCGGAGCTGAGGAGAGCGGAGCTTCGATGTGCTTCGACGTGGACGTCTTGCACGTCTTGGGAGCTCGCTGCATGGCCGTGCTCTTCAGCAAGTTCTGATACCGACCTTCGCTCCCAGTCAGCTCCAAGGCAGAAGCCTTTCCCCCCTCAGGCCCTGGCTTTCCGCATCCTGGAGTTGCTCCTGTCAGCGTTCCGACCCGGACGGGACGGTTCGCCGATTTCTTCACTTTCAACTCGCAACGGTGCCGTCCTGCTGCTTTGAGGAGGCCTCCTTCATGGACACCAGCTCCTCTTTGACCTGAGCATGGGCCCTGGCCGTGCCACCAAAGACGACTCCCCGGCTGCACCTGGGAGATCTCCGAGGTCTTCTCGGACAACGCCTGCTCCTGAGCCCGGGGGCGGCCCGGGAGCCCCGAGGTCACTGCGATCACGCGGTGAATCGCTCCGAGCTCCCCGGCGAGCTGCTTCAGGCCTCAGAAGAGAAGAACGCAACAGCTCTGCAGGGGACTGGCCCCGCCAAGGATTGCAAGGTCTTCACAGTCATCTGATCATCTTCATTCTCCAAATAAAGTCAACTTACCATCACCACAATTATCACCATCGCGTCTTGGTCACGAATCATGACCGCGGTCTTCGTTGTCGAGAAGCATCAGCATCAACCACACGCGCAGGAACATCGTCACGATCACCGCAAACGGCAGCAGCAAAAGCACCGGTGGCGGCGGCTGTTGCGACTGTGTAATGCTGAACGTCATCAACGACATGGGGCTGTTTTCATGGCGCCTTCGATTGTCATCTTACAATCATCTTGATCAACATCGGCAGGGCCCTGGGCCCTGGCTTTCCGTCTCGACGACCATCTTGGAGGTGTCGGCTGCCAGCTTCGCCGCCTCCTCGGCCGAGGCCCGGACCTGCTTTTGAATTCTAAGCTTCGCCCATGGGGCACAGAAACCGTCAACAGACAAAGCAAACTAAAAACATCACATGCATCTGAATGAACAAAGGCACTCAAAAAGCTCAAGACTGCATGTGAACATGCATGCGACCGCTCCCCACGGGACGAGCAGTCGCAAGATATGGGACGACGTCAGCCTATCAGAACTGACAGAACTGCCGTCATCGCAACCAGAGCAGGGTCCCAGAGGCGCACATACTCACAGTTGAAATGTTCAACAAAACCACAATGCCTACTAGTATTTGGCAACGATTCGACTGGTATCATCCTGGACAGTATGGTCGAAGAAACGGATCACAAAGCAACTGACCTGGACCCTGAACCCGCCTCCTAAACCCAATCCCATGTCAAGCTACGTGGGAATCAGCAGCAGGTTCTTGGGTGGCTTCATCTTGTCTCGGTGCTGTAGTCTGTGTGGAAGCTGCCGATGTGGACTCCAGAATGGCCGTGATGATCTCATCTTGCGCCCGGAGTTTCACTGTGGTAGCCGTCGGACTCCAATTGTGCCCAATGTCTGCGAGCATCGTCTGTTTCTTCCTGCCCCAACGTATGCGATAATTAATTGATCCCTTGCAGATCCAGGTCGAGGTATCATGCTGGTTGCTGGCGGTCGTGTAAGCCCTGCTCGGTGGAGGGTTTTTTTGAAAGGTTTGGCGGCCAGGTTCTCTTTAAAAGGTTTGGCCGTATATGGGTTCGTTTGTGCGTCAAGCTATTGGGGGGGATTCTAGTTTTCGGGGTTTGTTTGTGCGTCAAGCTGTAGGGGGCTGCGCCCCCCCAAAACCCCCGCTGTTTTTGAAACCCACCCTGCATAAGATGTGTTTTTTGAAACAGCGCCACTCGCCCTGCGAAAACTGTCTTTGCAAATGGGAAGCCTGTCCCGGGCGTGCGAGAGTGCCAAGCTTGCTTGACAGCATATATGAACTTTTGTGTAAACCCAACCATGCAAGCATCCCGTGATTGCAAATGGGGCGGCCCCCCGCACAAACAAACCCCGAACGATAGAATTCCCCAAGAGCTTGACGCAAGAACAAGCCGCGACCACTAGAATCCCCCGATAGCTTGACGCACAAGCAACCCTGAAAACTAGACTCCCCCTCCATTTGCCCCCCGCATTTGTTGTCACGCTCGCACGGCTGGTTTTCAACACAATCATATGCGACGGGGGGGTTTAAAGTTTGAGGCGGGCAGCCAATCAGGATGCTCGCATGAGTGGTTTTAAGCAACGCATATATGCTGTCAAGCACGCTTGGCACTCTCGCAACGCCCGGGACAAGCTTCCCATTTGCAAACGCACTTGTCGCAGGGCGAGTGGTGTTGTTTCAAATAGACACATACTAGTACGCAGGGTGGGTTTCAAAAACCACGTCTATGCTGTCACGCAAGCCTTAAAACAGCGGGGTGGTGGGGGGGGCGCAGCCCCCCCATTTGCAATCATGATGCTCGCTTGGTTGGTTGAAAAAGCGCATATGTGCCGTCAAGCAAGCGTGCCACTCTCGCACGCCCGGTCCAGGTTTCCCATTTGCAAGCACACTTTTCACAAGGTGAAGGGTGTTGCTTCTAAAAGACCCCTTTGAAACATCGCAGGTTTCCAAAAAAAAAATGGATTCCTATGCTGTCATGCAACCTTGCGCACGACTTAAAACAGCGGGGGCCCCCAATTGCAATCACGATGCTCACAAGGGGGTTTACAACAAACCATATGCGGCGGGAGGGTTTAAGGTTTTAAACAAAACGCATATATGCTGTCAAGCACGCTTGGCACTCTCGCACCCCCAGGACAGGCTTCCCATTTGTTCAGGAAAACACATATTATGCAAGGTAGGTTTCAAAAACACGTCTATGCTGTCACGCAAGCTTGCAGACGGCGTAAACCAGCGGGTGGTTGGGGGGCTGCCAGAACAAGACCACGGGAAGCACCGGACCGAGGGACCGGTGGACCGCAGGACCAGCAGACCACGGACCCAGCGGACCAGAGGACCACCTCTCAGCCAAACCTTCTCAAGGACAGCCTATAGCCAAACCTTGAAAAGAAAAAACATGGCCCGCCCCGCGTTACGTCTCATTGTCCGGGATGTCGTAGATCTTGATGTCGTTCCGGTTCAGTTTGACCCATCACCGATGGTGTCGTGCAGCATCCCGAGGTCGGAGTCGTAGCCATGGCCCGATATGAAGTATGTGGAGTACATGTAAGCAACGACTGCGGGGCCGGTTCTCACGGGTAGATACTGGAAACCCGACGATTGTTCCTCGGCAAGCCCCGCCAGCTCAACCTTGACTGATCCGGCATCAAACACCTGTGCTCCAGCAGATCTCTGGGAAGTGTTGATACTTTCGGGGCTTGCAGAGCCCATGGTCGCATCAAGGAGCTTCAATGATCGGCATGGGGTTGCCTCCCGCATCATCACTGTGTTGAAGCAACTCAAACGTTGGTTCTAGACATGTGACTTGAAAATTATGCTCGTCAGGGGAAGTGTAATGACCGCAGAAGTATAGCTATTGCAGCCTGATAGTCAGCGCCGGGAGTTCGCCGCACAGCCTCTAGATAAACGTCGCGCGTGTTGCATGGCCGAGCGAGCTAACTCAGTGCTGCCTGCTTGCAGGGGATGCACCACTTGAAACTGGATCAGCGCCAGTTCCATCCTCGATTACCGCTCCAACCACCGTTCCGCGAGGACCAGCTCCACCAAGACCAACCGTCGTCGTTCCAGACCCAATTGCTGCGATAGGTTGCGCGCTTGGGGACGATGCTAAGCCTGGTGCCCATGGATCTCTACATTGTTCGGCCAATGTTGCTGTACCGTCATCAAGAATCAAATCCAAATCTTCCAAAGCACTCAATACGCCGTTGAACCATGAGCATCAGGGTGCACCTAACCTTTTGCGCTCACGCGGCTTGAAAGTGGTCGCAGCTGCGTACTGGTTGCCTCGACTGGAAGATCCTGCGTTGTCTTAGATGTGTCAGGGATTCAGATTCGATGTACCGGAACTTTTAGTGTGGATTGGCTTTGAAAGCCACCCCAGCATTGTGCGAGACCTTGACTGTTAGTAAGCCAGTCGACTAATATCACATCCTGATGTTGATGGTGCTTGTGTCGATAGAGAAGTGGATGTTCCACCTCCCGCATACGGGGGAGGATAGCAACCTCTCCAGCGAGCACGATTTAACCCTTGCGCCCAAGACACAAAGACCGTGAAGGGTAATAGTGTCGCGAGCTGGCAAAATCTATTGGGAATCTCAGATGGCCGCTAGACGGTAGGATCAAGAAATAGCACTGGAACTGATGTGCAGCGGAGCGTATCCCACGAAAGCTTACGGTAATGGTGGACAACGGACCCGACTCGAAATAAAATATCCGGAGATTGGCAGATGATTAGTGGGTTCGAGGTTTAGGCTTTTGGAGTTTAGGGTTTACGGGTTTAGGGTTCATGAGAAACATCGGATTGGCCTGTGTTGATCTCGCTCCCGGCGTCCATGACTGATACAATCGCTAATCTTCTCTCGTATCGGTTTCAATTCAAGTCAGAATCAGCAGATGACCATGAGCGCACGGCGCGAGCGGATTTAGTCTTTTCACTCAGCGAGGCACAAGGCACGAAAGTGCTTCAGCGCTTGGATCTAGCTCTACATTAAAGATGGAGCTTTCAAGGGTCTCTGATCTTTACACGACTTTAAAAACCCTTCCAGCCTAACGCACGAACCTTGAGCCTGGATCTTGCACGGCATGACTGTCACCACCGTAGCCAGCAAGACTCCAGGGACTGTACCCTGCACTCCAATCTCTCGAGATCCAGTGCTCTGAGCTGGAGATGTCTGCAAGCGCATTGAGCGCGCAGGTGCTGACATGAATCGTGGATCCGGTGACCGAGGGTTTGTGACCGACCTTACTGGAGTCATCAAGCGATCGGGTGCAGGTGATGCTGGATTGGACTGCACACGCGGGGATCCCAATGCAACCTGCCCAGGCCTTCGAACCCTAGTCCTATCTTCACCCCATGCTGGCATCGGCGGCACATCTGATGGACGTGGCTTTCGTTCAGGTGTGTGATGGGATGTCGAGCTGGAGCTTCCAAGCTGTGCATGGAGCTCTTGCTCAACTGCCTCCTGGAGCCTTCTAAGCCTCAATGCCTGACGACCCTGGGAACCAAGAAGCCTTGGTGCAACACAGTTCCTCCAAAAGGCCTTGAGACCCTCCCAAACAGCGAGCGATGCAAGAACTACCAACGTAGCCAATACATACAGCTCTGCATCTGACTTGAGACCTGAATCATCATCCTCTTGAGCCTGAGCAGGGACGACACTCAACAGAATCACGAGCGCAATGTGAGCTCGCCGCGAAGCTACATCAGCTGGGAAACCCTGCGAATGTGCTGTGTGATCCAAGAGCGACCACAAGTTTGCAAGCTCACGGATACGAGGTGATGCCAGAGGTTTGGTCAACAAGTCTGCTAGCTGAGAGTCTCCTCTCCGATGCTCTAGCTTGAGATAGCCATCATCGAGCTGCTCACGGAGCCATGTGGCTCTCACCTTGAGGTGCCTAGTCCGAAACGAAGAGCTACCTTGCTGGATAGCTAATGCAGCCGTTGAGTCTGAATAGATGATTCTACTCGAAGGCTTGGCAAAGGCAGCTTCCAGCATCGATTCGATGGAAGTCAGTGACAGCGCCGTTTCCTGCAACGCTACTAACTCGGCCTCCGCCGTTGAGAGAGTTGTGAGCGATTGCCGGGATGACCGCCAGCTGATAGGACAGGATCTAAAATACACACACCATCCAGTTTGGCTCCGACCTCCCTCCGGACTGAAGGAGGCAT